AATTCTATTAATTGTGGGAAGATTTAGAGAGAGAGAGAGAGAGAGAGAGAGAGAGAGAGAGAGTGAGAGAGAGAGAGTGTGAACTTTAATTGAGCTGAATCATAAAGGTGAATTGTCATAATCTTTATTATCAGTCTATCTTTCTTTCTCTCTCACACACTTTGTATGACCTGACTCTATGGATCACACTCTCTTTATTTCCCCGTCTGACGAATCTAAAACTTTTGCAGATGCAATAATATCTTTTCTCTCAAAATTAAATTTGAAAGTATTTTTTTTATAATTAGAATTATTTATTTTATAAACTTTTAAATATATATATCATTTATAAAAAAATTAAATTGATTTGATAATTATAATCTATTTATTTTATGATGTTTGTTTTTGAAAAAATGGGTGACGAATATGTTTTTAAAAATTGATCATCTAATTTTTTGAAAATAAAATTGATAAATTAAAAGAGTTATAATTATCAGATCGATTAATTTTTTTTTTTATCTCAAATGATAGAAGCTGAGAATCCTACAAAGTAAACAATCTGAATTATCGAAATAAGACCTTTAGTGCGTCTAATGGGCCTCTCCAATTCTCTTAAATTTAAATAATTTGAGAGAAGTTCACCCTTTCAAGAACAAAACATGTGTATAAACATGATTAGATGCCCAAGTACTACTCACTGTGTTTAGTTTTAATTTTATGGATTCAATTTTTTAAAAATTGAGTTTTTTTTTTTTCATATTTTTTTATTTTTAGTAAATATTTTTAAATTTTAAATATTTTTTTATTTTTTTATATACACCTTACTTAGATATATTTAAAAAGTAAAATATTTATAAAAAAATATCTATCTTCCACATTGTTTTTATTTTTATAATATTGCTAATGATAATCAGCATGCTTAGTTCAATTTTTTAGAGTTAATTTTTTAGAATTTTTTATTTTTTATTTTTAGTGAATATTTTTAAAATTGTAAGTAATTTTTTATATTTTTTTAAATGCACTTTACTTAGATTTATCTAAAAAGTAAAACATTTATAAAAATATATTTTAAAAAATTAATAAATACACAAGAATACAAAAAATGTACTGAATTTTTATATTTTTTATTTAAATTTTTGTTATTTAGTCAATTTTTTAAAGATTGTTTTCACAAATATTATACATTTTAAATGTGTTTATGTTAAGTGTATCTAAAATTTTTAAAAATTACTTAGAATATTCAAAAAAATTAGTGAAAAAAAAACGAAAAACAAAAAAATTTAATTTTCTGAAAAGTGAATATTGAAAAACCAAAACCAAACAATTGTTTTTTCAATAACTAATTATATTTAACTTTTTATATTTTCAATAAATTTTGTAACATGATTATCATCTAAACATATAATAAAAATTAATTTGGTTAAAAAAAAAATAAATGTGTAAAAAATATATCAATTTTATATAATTTTATTTTTGTATGGTAGAAATAGCTTTTAAAAATTTAAAAATATGTTTTTGACATTTATTTTTTATAAAATTCATTTATATTTTATTAAATTAATGATTTTGCCCTTAAAATTAGAAAATAGTATCTTCAATTATTTTTATTTAAAACAAGATTCAAAATTTAAAATTAAATATGTTATAATCAAAAAGTTAAGAATTAAAATGATGCAAACTTTAAATTATACTGACAGTTAATCTAATTCGCCCTTAATAAATTTTGTAATAAGAGTGTTGGCGTTTTCATAAAATAACTTGTTTTCTAGCATTATATTTTGAGGTAACATAGAGCCAGGATACCATTAATGAGTTTCACGGGAAAATTGATGGAAGTGTCTACATCAAACTTGTGCCAAACAACAAGAAGCTTATAATTCAGAAGCAATTTCTATCTTACTTTTTCAATAGTCTCTTTCTTGTTTTTATTATTTTACAATACTATGTTTATTACTTTTTTTTTAGTGGTACCCAAGACACATATGGCCTTATTTGTCATAACTTAAAAAAGTAAAAAAATTAAAAAGTTATTATTCTATTTAAATTACATCATCTCTCTATCATATCACTTCAAATTCAATTCATATTTCATAAAAATGAAAAAATACATTTATTTAGATCATTCTAAACTACCCCATATGAGGCATAGAAAATAAAAGAGATATGTTTCATGGTATGTTTAGGGCAGTAAAACAAATCGAATTATTTATCTTCCACTTGTTAACAATTTATTTGAAATCCATTACACCTGTCAAAGGTATATGTCATATATATCTTATAATTAAAAAAAAAATGATATAATTTTATACTTTTTTAATTATAGCTAAAATAAAATCAAAAGTCATAACTAAATACCACATAAAATATAACCAAAAATCTCATGAGTCATAATTAAAAAAAAAATTAGTCATAATTAAAGGAGAAAATAACATAACTAAAGGTGTATATAATACACATTTTTTAAGGGGCGTGTATAGTAGAATTTCTCTTAATTTAAACATATTTTCAACATTATTGAATTTTTAAATTAAAATTAATAACTTATTACTCAATTCAATAAAATAATGTGCACTATAAAAAAAAATTAAATTATTTCAACTCAATTTGTGTTAAGGTCTTTTAAAATTTTGATCAAATCAAGTAATTTAATTAAATTTAAAAATATAATTTAAAACTTGTGAAATTTTCGAATTAAATTTGAACAAAATTTAGTACCGAGCTCAACTCAAACATTTTACAGCTCGCATTGTTGAGGAAGAAGAGAAAAGGAAGGTGGAAGTGTCATGTCATGTCTCCCTTGTTTGGACGGATAGGGAAGGAAAAGAAGAGGAAAGGGAGTAAAATTTTGTCCCCCTTTTTTGGTAGATCTAAAAATTTTAAAAAGGAAAACAAAGAGTGAGAGAACTTGAAATTTTTTTTTTATTTTTATATTTTTCTCACATTTTCATTTGCCAATTCAATCTATGACTCAAAACTTACTGAAAATTAAAAATACAAAAAGTTAAATATGATCGGATAATGTAATTAATGAGTGGGGTTAATAGTAATGTCATAACTAGTGTTGATACACTAATTAGTATACTAATTGATATATGTAACACCACCGTTATTCATTTGTTTAAATATCATATGCATTAATTTTAACAACAATGCCAGGTAGCTCAAAATTTTGTGGCTCAAATGGCTCAAATCCCTCAAAACGACGTCGTTTTGAGTGTAAATGAGTGTAAAACGACGTCGTTTTGAGGGATTTGAGCCATTTGAGCCACAAGATTTTGAGCTACCAAACATTTTCCTTTTTCAATAGTCTCTTTCTTGTTTTTATTATTTTACAATACTATGTTTATTACTTTTTTTAGTGGTACCCAAGAGACATATGGTCTTATTTGTCATAATTTAAAAAAGTCAAAAAATTAAAAAGTTATTATTCTATTTAAGTCACATTATTTCTCTATCATATCACTTTAAATTCAATCTATATTTCATAAAAAGTCAAAAAATATACTTATTTAGATCATCCAAACTACCCCACATGGGGCAAAGAAAATAAAAGAGATATGTTTCATGGTATGTTTAGGGCAGTAAAACAAATCGAATTATTTATCTTCCACCTGTTAACAGTTTATTTGAAATCCATTACACCTGTTAAAGGTATATGCCATATATATCTTATAATTAAAAAAAAATGATTTAATTTTATACTTTCTTAATCATAGCTAAAATAAAATCAAAAGTCATAACTAAATACCACATAAAATATAACCAAAGATCTCATGAGTCATAACTAAAAAAAAAAAAATAGTCATAATTAAAGAAGAAAATGACATAACTAAAGGTGTATATAATACACATTTTTCAAGGGGGCGTGTATAGTAAAATTTCTCTTAATTTAAACATATTTTCAACATTATTGAATTTTTAAATTAAATTTAATAACTTATTACTCAATTCAATAAAATAATGTGCACTATAAAAAAAATTAAATTATTTCAACTCAATTTGTGTTAAGGTCTTTTAAAATTTTGATCAAAATCAAGTAAGTAAATTAAATTTAAAAATATAATTTAAAACTTGTGAAATTTTCGAATTAAATTTGAACAATATGTAGTACCGAGCTCAACTCAATCATTTTACAGCTCGCATTGTTGAGGAAGAAGAGAAAAGGAAGGTGGAAGTGTCATGTCGTGTCTCCCTTGTTTGGACGGATAGGGAAGGAAAAGAAGAGAAAGGGGAGTAAAATTTTGTCCCACTTTTTTGGTAGATCTAAAAATTTTAAAAAGGAAAACAAAGAGTGAGAGAACTTGAAATTTTTTTTTTATTTTTATATTTTTCTCACATTTTCATTTGCCAATTCAATCTATGACTCAAAACTTACTGAAAATTAAAAATACAAAAAGTTAAATATGATCGGTTATGAGAAGATGCTACTCACCCTATTGGCATGTAATGCAGGCCCCACGTTATAAATTAAGTAAATTACACTGATTTTTTATTTTTGTTTTTTAAATTTAAAAAAAAAATACAATTTATACTATAAATTATAACATAATAACACCGGCCTCCATTGCAATTGAGTATTATAAGATTCCATAATCTCAAATTTTCTTTCATAAATTTTAAGTAAATTAATAGGTTCAATTTTTGAGACTTTTTATTCATTAAATTTTACTAATAAATTTATCAAGTGAAAAAGTTTATTATTCTTGTATAAAGGACAAGTAAAAAAGTTTTCATTTATCAAAGACAAATCACATTATGGTCAAAACATAACAAACATATCTCTAAATTAAATTTTAGTAGTCTCCTGCCCCGCCACCTCACACCATCACTACCACTGCCAAATGCTACTGGCCACCGATCACCACCACCTCTGGTCACCGGCAACTCAACCACCAAACACTCTTTGACGAACATTATTCAGCGAGAATCTCTGGCAGTCATTTTCCGTCAACTCTCCACCCTCCAACAACTTCTCCCTTCCGGCAACATACTCAAATAATATTGTTTTGGACACTAATGACTGATAATAACAACGATAATAATAATATATAAAAAATAAAACTCAACCATTACAACATTAAAAACCTTGACCCTAATTGTACCACAAAAAGAATTACGATTCCACTACTCATTAACCTAAAAACTTAACAATACAAGGGGACCAATTTTGGGAAATTCATGATAATAATACAGAGAACAGGAACTACTTACTTTTTTCACACAAACTAGTACCTGGTGGATGATACAAAGAGGCTCATATAAAACAAAACAAGTGATAGGATAGAGAGAGCAATGGGTAAATGGAGGGTGGTTGATGAAGACTGATCGTTGATTTCAGAAGAATCAACGGCTAGGGGCATTCCATCGCTGTTGAGACTGCAAGAGAGAGGATCAGACCCGTCCGTGCTCATCATGATGGCTCTTAGGACTGCTGAAACGGTGTGAATGTAAGTGGATCGGTTCTTTGCAAGGAGCCATGTTAAACCCATCAGCTCACAGTCTCTGTTGCGCATTTTGCTCGTCCTGTCCTCTAGTTTGCTTGTATTTCCAGTTTTATCTTCATTTAGCTGCATATAAGATCATATATGAGAAAACTACATCACAATTAACATATAATATCACTATACATAAATCTCATTTCTCACCCTATTTTCTCAGTCTAGACACAAGTGAATTATATATGCATAAATCGCATATGACACCTCTTTTTAGTCTAGAAACACGGTAGTGAGACTCATATTAATAAATGCAGGTAGAATAGACTCACTTGCGTTTTGGAATAAGAAAAGTGCGGCAAAATGAGGTTGAGTGTAAGAACCAAGATAACATCATTCTCTATCTATTTTTTGGATTTTTATATTGCGTATCTATTTGAATACATAAGGCAAAAGAAGTAATCTAGTGTTCAAAGAGAGATTAGGGTGCCAATCTTTTTGGTAGTTTTCTTAGCACCATGTCGCTTATTCCTTTATAAAATAGACAAATTACCAGATCGAAATTACGAAATTTCTTGTAGAAGGCAATGTTATATCAACATTATAATCTATTTAAAATTTCATATGCAAGCAATTATATGGCTGATTTGTGTTCTATCATCCTAGAAGTAAAACACCCACCGAAGTAACTTCTAATTAAAAAAATGGCAAGAACATATCCCTCTAATTATCACAAAAAAACTGTTACATATTTCATTTTTTAAAATTATGTGAAGGTCAAAAACCAAACCAAATGAGATTTATAATTATTTTTGTTGAAGGGAAATTGTTGAGAGATGATTGTCTATTGCTTTAGGAAAAGACCTGCAAACACTGCATTTGATCTACATAGTCAAAATTGGGGAAATAATAGATTCAACATTGAGCCAATAGAAAACTCTTTTAAACAGTTTGATCTTTGACTACATCCATCCCACTAAATGCCACACTAACATACAACACCATGCATTTATGCTACAACCACTTTGGCCACCCAAGAATAAAGAATCATTGACCTAACATCATAATATGAAGATAATTAATCTCAAAACAATAGGATAAGTGCTCTCTCTCTCTCTCTCTCTCTCTCTCTATCTATCTATATATATATATATATTTCCTTCTAATCTCAAAACACAATCACTTCTGTAGTCTACGAATAGCATGCCTTATGTTACACTATTTTCCTCTAGAGAAAATAAAAAATTTACTGAATTCCAATCATTACAGTTGTTTTCATATTAGCCTCTTTCGAAATGAGTCTATTGGTATGCAAAGGCAATGCAATGCGACTATTGAATACTACTATACAAACATAATTTCGAAACATAATTTTCATGTATAATATTTGGGTTTCTTTAATTTTAAAACATAACACTCACAAATATGAATCCAAATATATATATATATCCTAGATCAGACCAAATTATGCTTTGCACCATTTCACATTAACATAAATTTTGGCTGAGTTGGACTAGATGCCCACCAAAATCCTTTTTTTTTTTTTTTTTTTTTTTTTTTTTTGTTGCAAGGTAATTCAACTTTTTTTTTCTTTTTCCGTTGCAAGATAATTAAATTTGAAAATTTTAAAATTGGACCGAGCTTGGGCTACCTTGTGCTTCAAAGACCTCAATCCAACCCTCCATGAGGGCTTGCGTACGTTAGGCTTGGCCTACGTTGGGTTTAGGGGGCTCAGCCCACACATGCCCAGCCGACCCACTAGGCTATGGGTAAATTTACATGCTTATATGTTTTTTGCTTTCTAGTGGCAGGGTGTTATATAATAACAATAGAAAAATGGTTGGGAGCACTAATTAGTGCTCCCACTAATTAGGTAGCAGTGGGTCCCACTATTAATGATGTGATGTTTTGGTCTTGGAAAAATAAAAATGGGGATTAAAGTGGGTTGGGAAAAATCCATACCCATTAAAAAATGGGGAGGGTGGTACCCATGGGGAATGGGGAATGGGGAATGGGAAAAATTTATTATAGGGGAATGGGAATGGGGAATTAATATGCACCCCATTGCCCCCCATTGCCATTCCTACGTAATCCTAGGACTATTAGTCATGGGAATGCTAATCCAGTCCGCCCAAACAAACATAGCCTAATATTACAATAATCATATTTATCTATTACATTGCATTTATTTGTTTTAAATTTGCATTATTTTAACAATAATATTATGTAAGAGGCTTGTATCCCATTTTATAAATAATTTTTGTGCATATAGGCTTATCCTTATTTTAATGTTATAACAAATATGAACATTGTGACATTATTAATTCTGTAAAAACTGTAATCTTCAGTCACACATCACAGAATTAGATGCAGGAGCATAATTGTGTGTGAGGACTGCGACACAGTGGATAGTAGTGGATGAGCATGCTAAACTTACCCCTTAAAAGCAGACCAGTTTAATACAACTGCAAACCTAAGCCGCAATGTCCGCGCGTGAAAATACTTCCCACGGTGAAACCCCACAACACAATTAACTTCCCCCACAAAGCCACCAAAACTAAAAATTCTTTTGGTTAAATTACCATTTTACCCTTATAATTTAATCTAAATTCCATTTTAATTCTTATCTCTTTAATTTGAAATAATATTAATTTTAAATTTTAAATTTAATTTCAATTCAGGTAATTTCATCCGCATTACCACTAATTTTGTTTAGAATTACATCAAGAACCCCATTTTATAATTAGCAAATTTGATCTCAACTCTATTATTCATGAATCCATACATTTTGAGTAAAAATAATATATATATATATATATAGTATATATTTAATTGACAATGTTAAAATACAATTATGTAATTAATTATTTTTTGAGTAAAGTACATTGATCTCGCTTGAGATTTATAAAAAAATATAATAAATCTTACAATTTTGATATAATTATATAAATTTTAATAAGATTAAAATGATCAAAATTAATATAAATGATATGAAGACACAATGCATAATATAAAATGTACATTTTAATATAAAAGAAATGATAACATAATTTTTCATTCAATTTCTAATGAAAATGGAACAAGCGTTATATAAATTAAAAATTTTAAAAAAATTAGGATAATTATACTAAACTTAGGAAATTTATTATAACATCTTCAAATTTTAAGAGAGAAGGTATAATTTACCCAATTAAAAATGTGTGAAGTGTACTTTAACCATATTTGCCCCGCCATGAAAATTGCCGCCAAAGCCACGGTGGCGCGTGTTAGGCAGTCAATTAAATTTGGCGGGTAGAACAACCACTAGACCCACAATACACAATTCTCAGTGGCAAGCATGTGAGGTGTTGTCGCCAAAAAACAAGAAAGAGGGAGAAGGAAAAAAAAAAACCAAAAACCAAAAAATACTTTCCCAATTCGACCCACATTGTTGAAGAAGACTACTCAAATCAAACCCTAGCAACTTCCCTCTGATTCACTCAACTATACCCATCAATCAAACCAAAGAATATACAGATAGAGAGAGAGAGAGAGAGAGAGAGAGATGGGTTACCCGGTAGAGACTGTTCAAGCACTTGGAACACCCAGCAAGACCAGAATAGCCATTGAGGCTGTTACTAAAGCAATCTCTCTCTAACCTCTTCACACTCTGATCTCCGACGAGTTCCCCATTTTGCGACACCGAGAACGCTTCTGGGCAGCTCAATGGGTGCAACCTGTGGTATTAATTACCAAATTAAATAAATAAATATGAGCGACAAGAGAAAACACCAAATTTACGTGGTTCGGCAAACATAACCTTATCCCACAGTAACAATACACCACATCACAGGTATTGTTTGGCTTCACCAATTCAATGCCTTTGTTGTTCAAAGCATTTTCGAGACTTGTCACACAGGTCTCTGAATCGTCGGGAAGGAGTGGGAGATCGTACGACGCCGTTTGAGGAGCCCTGCCCGCCCTGCCCAACGCCGTCTTCGAGTAGGCGGAGAAGAGCCAAGCGGCGAGAACAGGGCAGCACCGGGTCCGGTGGAGCTGACCCGATCGGGTTGACCCGCAAGAGGATTTGATGGCGTGGAAGAGGTCATCGGGGAGGTCCAAGGGGCAGCCTGCCACGTCGGATTGTTCGGGGAAGGCGGGGATGGTGGCGGCCGAAGATGGGGTGGTGGAGAAGGGTTGGATGGAAGCCGGGTCGGGTTCGGTTAGGGCAGGGAGGGAGGGGAATGAGGGGAGGAGAGTGAAGAAAAAGAAGAAGAGGAAGGTGAAGTAGGAGATTTGGGACATTGCTGTTTTGAGAAGTGATGAGGGTGTTGAATTTAGGGTGTGTTTGGGTTTTGATGTTTTTGTTTTGTGGGTGTTGGGTTAGGGGGTGGTGTGGTGTGGTGGGAGAGGATACCAATAAAGGTGGTGATAGTGGAGAGGAAATGGAAAGAGAGAGCAAAAGGTTGGTGGGAGTGTGGGGATAAAGGTATGGTAGATTAGGGTGGGGTTGGATAAATTTTTGGCTGTTTGCTTCCTCATGCTCTAAGGTCATGTGCGGATTAGTAATAGTATCATAAGCAAATCATTCTTGAGGAATGTTTTTTTTTTTTTTTAAATTATTTTCATTCTTCAGGAATGTGTTTTTTTTTTTTTTAAAAAATTATTTTCCTAACATTGTTTTGTAACTCTTTTTGGAAAAAAAAATATTACACTATTTTATGCTATTAACTATATACTATTTTGTTTTAAAAATTACTAATAAACGAATTTATGATATGCATTTTTAAGGTAGATGTTATAAGTTGTGTTTATATTATGAATGCTATAATTATGTTATGGTTGGTGTGACAAAAATGAATTATTTTGGTGAGAAACATTAAGATATGCTATGATGTTTATTACAAAATATTTTGATTCTATTATGTACATTGTGATAAGTTAAATACAGCATATCTTTTTAGGGATGCTTCTATCCAGTTGGTTTTGCCAATTGGAGGTGTTACTGGATTTATTATGGGCTTACATCAATAATTTGAATCATTTATATGTTAAGATTCGTAAAAAAAATTATTGTTAATAAAACAACAATAGGCACGTTATTACATTTTTTCTCCCATAATTTTAAAAGTATACATGATATCAACGGCCTTTTTTTATATATGCACTTTAGAGATTATAAAACTCAGTTTACATTTTAAATAAATTGATGAATCTGACATTATCATAGGGATTGTGAGTAGTATTTTAAAAACAACAATTTTAATAATTTCAGAAGTAAGGTATGTATTTAATTGTAACAATTTTAATTGGGCATATAAGAGTTAATTTGGTGGAAGAGTAGTAGATAGTTCTTTATTGACCGCAATGTTTGATTAGTTTTACTTGTCCTTCCCAGTTTTCTACCAATAAAATTAGTTTTTAATTTATTTTGCTTGCAGAAACATGTATACTCTATTTTTTTCAATTTTTTTTTTTAATGGGTAAGGCGATTTTACCTCATATTTAGTAGTATTGTAAAATGAATCAAACTATTTAAGCTCAAAATTTGTTCAAGATTTTCTTATTATGCATCCCGTTAAATTTCAACCCATTTTAAAATTTGTTAAGTTTTTAAATTTGTTGGAACGACTGCTACTCGTCTTGATAAACTCATATGCACTATATAAAACAAAAGTTACTCAAGCTCAATCCATTTAAAAACGAGTCAAAAGATAAATATATTAAATTTAAACATATTTTAAAACTTGTTAAAATTTTAAATAAAACCTAAATTTACAATCCTAGTATTTATAATTATTAGAAACAAGGTAAAAATGATAATATAAACATGTTTGGTACTCTCTCAGGTTCAAATAAACAAGCCCATCAAAACAAAGACATTTTTTACACGGTTGAACTTGATAAAGTGCGTGCAAAACATATCAATATGTCTGAAACTAGAATATGAATAATGATTTCAATCTTTAGTAGCAATGAACTTTCATTTTTTTATTTTTTTTATGGTGTTGTTAAGAATGAGGCACAATTATTAATAGCTGAATCTTGTTTGTGAAGGCTCCTAAGACATCATTTGATAAGAGAGTTTGGTGCTTAATTTGATTTTGACTACTAGAATCACAATTATATTAATTTTGCTACTCTTATTAATATATTTTTTATTATAATAAGTAATGTTTTGGAAAGATGATAAAAAGTTAATTTTTTAATTTTTTAATTTTTTTTTGACTTTTTTATATAAAAAGGTAAAGATATAATGTGACCCAAAAAATTAAAAAAAAAAGTTAAAAAGCTAATTTTTCCAACAACAATGATTGAGACAACTTTTTTTTTTTAAAAGCCCCGCAGTTCCTTTTGGATTTCAACCATTCATGGCATAGATTCTACACATACATAAATGGACCTACACATATATCAATAATTAAAATCCAAAGAGATTTGTGTGGTTCAAAAAAAAAGGAATTCCAAGCATTTTTTCTCTTTTCAAATTACCCCTAAAAAGCAATTGTGTTTTGGGAACAGTGTTTTCCATCTTTGTCCCATTTGTCCTTTGAGTTTGTTGGTATTACTAATTTGGAAAGTCTTTAGGCCCCGTTTGTTTTGAGCGAAAGAGAGGGTATTGTGATTACTAATACCAAGGTATTAGTAATAGCCTTATTTGTTTTGGGAGAAGGCTTTGGGACTATTAGTCCCTTGGTATTACTAATACCCTTGAAGAGGGGATTGGTAAGGAGGAGGTAGAGATGGTATTAGAAAAATAGTGAGGGGATTAGAAATTTTTTTATTTTTTATATATGGGAAATTTTTTTAAAAATATAATTTTTAATTTTTTATATTTTTTTATTTGTTTTATTATTTTATATAAAAATAATTTAACAATTCCTCACTACTTCCATCTTTGTCCCTTTTGTCCTTTGAGTTTTGTTGGTATTACTAATTTGGAAAGTCTTTATGGTAATTATGGTATGAATGTTGGTTGATTTTGAAGTATGAATATTTTGGGACACTTTAGGAAGAAGCTAAAAAAGTTAGTTTTTTAGATTTTTAGCTTTTTTAGTAAAAAAAGTTATTTTTTTTAATCAAAAAAACTAGTTTTTTTTGCTAAAAAAGTCATCAAAAAGTCAAAAAGTCAACTTTTTATCACCTTTTCAAAACACTTATTTTTAGCTTATATATACATATATATCTATCTATATCAGAATTGCTCGAGTATAGATGGTTTTTTTTTATTTATTTTTTGCCATTCAACTTGTTTTAAAATTTTTTATTGTTGCTTTAGATAATTTGATCATTCATAGGATTTGTTGGTAAATTCACTTCTTTGTTTAGCCACCTTTAGCATTATGTAAGGTTTAATGATTACATTTGAGGGAAATTACTTTATTAGCCTTTTTATTTTGAGAATATTGCAACTCTAACTTTGTTATGTTATTGTAACTTTTTTATTTTTTTAATTTTGGATGGTGTTGATGAAATTTGGATAGCTTTAGTGTTATAAAATGTATAATTTCTTGTTGCTTTCTATATTACATGACTAATAATACTAAAAATATATCCTTATCAATTTTGAATTTATTCACAAAAACAAACCAATGGTTCAAATTGATTTTATTTATAGACCACATATTTTATTAATTTAATCTTCATCATACAATCCATTTAGGATAAATTCTATATTTTTAAGGGTGGGTTTATAACATTTTTTTTACTGGACAAGTGATTGTCCTTTTGTAAAATATCAATAGTAAAAAATAACATTTGGATTTCTCCCAAGTTACAATATGAATTTGACACATTAGTAGTTACAATATGAATTTGACAGATTAGTGGGATACCTCATAGGTACTATTTTGATTACTTAAATAGCTAATTTTATAGGTATCAGTATATCATTAATTTAGGCAATTTGATCATTCATTGGATTTGTTGGTAAATTCACTTCTTTGTTTAGCCACCTTTAGCATTATATAAGGTTTAATGATTACATTTGAGAGAAATTAATTTATTAGCCTTTTTATTTTGAGAATATTGCAACTCTAACTTTGTTAGGTTATTGTAACTTTTTTATTTTTTTAATTTTGGACAGTGTTTATGAAATTTGGATAGCTTTAGTTTTATAAAATGTATAATATCTTGTTGCTTTCTATATTACATGACTAATAATACTAAAAATATATTGTTATCGATTTTGAATTTATCCACAAAAACAAACCAATGGTTCAAATTGATTTTATTTATAAACCACATACTTGATTAATTTAAACTTCATCATACAATCCATTCGGGATAAATTCTATATTTTTAAGGGTGGGTTTATAACATTTTTTTTACTGGACAAGTGATTGTCCTTTTGTAAAATATCAATAGTAAAAAATAATATTTGGATTTCTCCCAAGTTACAATATGAATTTGACACATTAGTAGTTACAATATGAATTTGACAGATTAGTGGGATACCTCATAGGTACTATTTTGATTACTTAAATAGCTAATTTTATAGGTATCAGTATATCATTAATAGAAAAATTAGATTGATTTGATAACATGTTTGATTGGAAGGATTAGAGCATGAGATTGAGATTATTAATCTGTGGACCCAATTATCTTATGTTTGTTTTGACATTTTGTTTTAGGATTATCAATCCAATGGATAGTTAATCCAACAAATTTGTAGGATTATTAGTAATGGGGTAAGGGTGAAATTGTGAATACTACATTAATTTGATTGAATTATAATACTTCACTATTAGTCTTGTAAAATCAAACATGACCTGATAACTTTAACAATTTTTTATCATGTTTGTCTCTATCTAAGACACAAGACATACATATGGGTTCTACCACTCAACGTGGTCCTACCAAATATTATAATTAATTAGTGTGTTAAGGGATATACTAATTAGTGTTTATAGTATTACTGTTTTAAAATAAATATTTTTTTAAAGACAAACACAATTAAAATAAAATAAAAAAGATACGATTATTTGATCAGTATAATTGTTTTTTAGATATACATGGAGCGTCTTATAAAATGAACGATTTAAATCATTAAAACGAGACTTGTGGTTGGCTCCATGATCTCTTCGAGTTCTTCAAGATTATATTTGAAGTTAAGAAAATGTGAAAGTAATTTCATATTTTTAAATTAAAATATTAAGATGTATAAAATATATAAAAATGCTTCATTTAAATGTTAATTTGTAAAATTTATAAAAAGTTAAGTCATTTGTACCTCTTGTAAAGATAACACGTAAATAATCAATTTAAATAATTTAATTAATTTACATGTTTTCATAAAAATATTTTATTTAAATATTTGACCCGTGCCTTGCACGGATTTTTTTTTACTTAGTATATATATATATACAAAAATGATTGTGAGCTCTAATAAAGGAGCTCTAATGAGCTCTAGTAGGCGTGAACCCCACTGTGATGGGATGTTTTGACCTAAATTTTATTT